CTTCGCACACCTGGTACCTGTCCCTCAGCTGGGCAGCACAGGCTGGTCTAGACTACCAGGCCATGTCTCAGCAGGCAGTAGCACTTGCCAGCTGGTGACTGTGTGCCCCACACTGTCCCCATTGGCCCCAGATTTGCTAGGGAACATGGAGGTGGCACAGGCATCCCTCAAAATAAATCTCCCTCTGCCAAGAACGGCACTTGAGTCTAGGGAGCAGGGTTTTGTGTTAACCACCACTATGGTCAAGACACCACCCATGTGGTAAAACAAATCCCAGTTCCTCTTTGGCATTCTCCAAATGAGCATATTAGGTCAATGAGGGACAGTTGCTGGGGTTACAGCTACAAAAATAGCATGACATTATGTCTGCTGCGTGGCTCAAACCTGCCACCGCCTTCAGGCCCTTCTGGGGTTCCTGAAGAAGGCAGCAGGGTGTTTCCTAGAATGGGGGTGACCGAAGCCCTGATCCTTCCTCCAGCAATGGACCCTAGAGACACTGTTTTGAGCTGATGAGTAACACTGGAGCAATGGAGGAACTGCTGCTGCTCAGCAGCCCCGGCCCTAGTGCAGGTCTGCAGGGTCCTCCTTGGCAGCTGCAAGTTATGGTTTGCTCCTCTCCACGTGGACAAAAACTCTCCTGATACCAGACAGGTCCTAGTATGGACTAGAAGTTTGGACTCTGAAACCACCTTCTGGGCAAAAGAAGAGGCCTAGGGCTGTTTGAAGGGGATTTGGTGTGGTGTTCTTTGTTTAAGGTTTTTCTCTAGTGGTTGTCCTATTTTGTTGCACCCAACCAAGCTTTCTCAGCACCCAGGCAGATGGCCAGATAGGCTGATTTGGAGGCAGACCAGAAAGAGCTAAGCAGGTGTTGTCATTACTACAGTTGTTCTGTCACCCAATGACTCCTCCCCATCTGGGGAGAGGAATCGGGAAAAGGAAAGGAGACCTGTGGGTTGAAATAGAAACAGATTTAATAAAGTAATAATAATAAAGCCCAATACAAATAGCAGTATTAATATACAGTACACAGAGTTCTACTAAGAAAATATAGTGGTTGCAAGCTGTGATGATCACAATGAATGGGGGAGTAGACCTTGGAAGTAGAACAACAGGCACAACCCTCCTAGGGTGTCAGCCGTCAAGGAAAGAGGGCCATCTCCAGCAAATCTGTGTTCAGTTCTGGGCCCCTCAGTTCAAGAAGGACAGGGAATTGCTTGAAAGAGTCCAGCGCAGAGCCACAAAGATGATTGAGGGAGTGGAGCATCTCCCTTATGAGGAGCGGCTGAGGGAGCTGGGTCTCTTTAGCTTGGAGAAGAGGAGACTGAGGGGTGACCTCATTAATGTTTATAAATTTGTAAAGGTTGAGTGTCAGGAGGAAGGAGCCAGGCTCTTCTCAGTGACAGCCAATGACAGAACAAGGGGAAATGGGAGCAAGCTGGAGCATAGGAGGTTCAATCTGAAGATAAGGAAAAGCTTTTTTACTGTAAGGGTGACAGAGCACTGGACCAGGCTGCCCAGAGAGGTTGTGGAGTCTCCTCTAGAGACATTCAAAACCTGCCTGGACACATTCCTGTGCGACCTACTCTAGGTGATCCTGCTCTGGCAGGGGGGTTGGACTGGATGATCTTTTGAGGTCCCTTCCAACTCCTAACATTCTGTGATTCTGTGAAACTCCTCAATTTACAGTAAGCATGACATTTATGGTATGGAATAATTTTGTTGGCCAGCTTGGGGTCATCTTGGGGTCAATTGCTCTGGCTCTCCCTCCCTCCAGCTTCTGTACCTGTTTAACTCAAAACTGCTAAACACCTTGATCACCACAGACCAGTTCTGGCCAAAAACTAAAACAAAGTATCTTATCGACTTTGTTCCCATTAAATCAAGTATTGTAGTCTTTGCAGAAATGCAACTTTCCTGATAGAATCCCAATAGAAATCTGATTCTACAATTCTGTCCCAGGAAAGCCAGGAAAGCAGACTGTAACCATTTTCTGGTGAGGCTATACTGTTTAGATCCAGAAGTTCTTGATGCACATACACATTTAAGAAGGGAAAG